ATATATATATATATATATACATATACAGTTGTTTGCAACTGTAAAAATACTTTTACAAATAATGATATATGATTGTTATAGATTGACGGAAATACTTGGGGTTCCTCAGGTAGATCCTCAACAGGACGTAAACCCACATTTCTCTGTCGTAATATTAAATCGTATCGAAAGCATGCTGCAAGATTAATGAGAGGGAAAACATTTTCGCTTAATGCTAATCATCCGGATAAAGTTGCAGAGTAAGTACATTCGATACATCGGTATGTAATTCGCTATATAAATTTATAATTAACTTTATTTGTACATATCATCAAGTAACAATATTGTAAATCTATTGCAGATCAAGCGACACTCCAGACATGATCAATTCCGACGAAACACAATGTAGATTTAATCCCAACAGTTATACCATGCTCTTCATTGTTCATAAGGACAGATTTCTTTATAAACAAAACTCCATGAACCGGGCTAGACGGGTATGTTTATAATTATTTGAATATTTGATACCTTTATATATACCAAACGTTGTGTATAGTCTATTCTGATTAAAAAAGAAAAAAAGAAAATTGTGAAATATTTTGATTTGACAGTGTCATCCAGCTGTAACGAAGCGTAAGGATTCCAAATTTCATCATTGGCATTCATTATGGATATCCAAGAATGGCACAGATATTCAACATCGGTTGTGTCAAGATTGGTTGATGGGACGATACGAGAACTTGATTCCTCACAGGACACGAGTGATAACGGACAACGATCAGACACGTTCTCCCTATCGGCAATACAATCGTTTTCGAGTAGAACGTTTGTTGCAATCTGATTTGTTGACAGAAACTTGCGTCTAATCCAATTCGATGCAATTTCTTACCGTCATTAAAAATTTCTCAATATCGCTACACTCGGTATAATTAATTAGTCTTTTTTTTTCTCTCGACGAAAATTATTCTTTGCCCGTTCAGCCGGTATGATTAAGACTCGAAGCAGAAATTCTTGAAATACGAATTTGGTTTTGTACAAAGTAATGAATATATTATATATATATATATATGTTGTAAATATTATATAGTTTAATAAATTTTAAGAATGATTTCATTTAAATTTATTTATTTTTTATTCACATTTTAAAAT